ACTGCTCCCATGTTTCTTTTCCTTTCTTTATTACATGTATTTTACTTATTATTTATAAACCCCCGTAAGCCTCTCTAAGTGCTGCACATCTGGGGCTGAGAGGTTACGGCTCAGCAGGTCAAGGGCAAAACGTCCTTGAAGTTACTGAAGCTATGAGCTGTAGGTCATTTTTCTTTATTATTATTATTATCTGAAGTAATCGTACTCTCCTACAGCGGTCCAAATGGTCCTAACAGAAAATGTGGCGACCATGCCTTGAAAAGGATTATTGTTGTGGTTGTTGTTATTGTTGTTATGGTCCGTTTGTCGTATTTATTATGGTCATCATTATCACATTCATACTGGAAGTGCCTGCGTTAGTAGCTCTGCTCGTTGAGCAACGATTGCAAGGTGGACATATTTTGAAAAGTGCTGTAGCTTTTGTGTTTTAGTCGGGAGCCGGACATCTATGGACCATTATCCTGATTACAAAGTGTCTTGTAACATAATTCAATTCTACCCTAAAATGAAAGTGTCTGCCTGTCTGTCAAACGGGAGGCCGGTGGAAGGAGAGGAGGCAGAGAAGTGAGGGGGAAAATAACGGTGTTAATAGATGACTATCAAAGAGAGGACAAGGTCACGATTGATAAAAGAAAATGAGAGAAGAAAAAAAGTTAATAAATCGTCTGCCTTAGCAGCGTTTGCCAGTGACAGGCTGTCAGAAATACACCACAGCTTATCAGTAGCAGTGGACTGAGGGGTATTGTTCTGCTGCCTCTCATTTAAAACCACAAAATAAACTAGTTCTCAGCTGACGCTGCGCTCATTCTGAGTTCTCTCAGCCTTAATACGTGCGCTGCCGTGACTTATTAACATAATCAATAGTGTTTAATTCAAGGGTTGGGTTTCTTTTTTACGTTTAATGTGAGAAACGGAAACTTGGACTGGAGCCTAATTTATCAGGAGCTGGGGTAATAGATCACACAGGCGTCCATGCGAGACGTCATTGACCTGCAGAGTTTTTAGGGATTAAAATACCTCCTGTCCAGTGCTGTATTTACTGTGGTAAAAACAGACACAAGAGAAAAATAGTTTTCTATGGTTTTAAACTAAAATAGTCTACACTGAAACATATGTTGTATGCTGTATGAAGCCTGTAAAGTTGGATTTATTGATTTGTGGTTGACCCAGTCAACGCTGTAGCAGCAGCTGCTAATTGGTTAATCCAGGAATCAGTCAATAATTTTCATTTGCAAGTGTAGCTGTGTGCCTGGCAGTTGGAAATCCTTCCAGATTTGTTTTAGTCATTAGTGAGCCACACATTTCAAACCATCTTATTTTGCCAAAGTTTTAACTGTCAATAGAATTATTTATCGAACAAATGACCTCATTTTTGGACAGACAGAGATGGATTTGATCTGATTTCGGGGGGAACCATGTTGGATAATATTTGAAATGTTATAGTGAGTACTAGAACAATGTAATCATTTTAATTTAAGCTCATTGTAATGAAGCAGTTTCATCATTACATCAGTACATAAAAACCATGTGGCTGGTCACAGGATGTCATGGAATTACTTTACTCTATCACAACTTACCTTTTATTGCTCTTAATTCATTGATTTCTCCAAACGCATTTCTAGGAAATGAATCTGTAATTGTGTAAGAGTTTGTCTAATGAGGTGGTAAATAGTGTTGAGGAGAAAGAATAAACTCCACTATATATTATATCTGTCTGTGATAGCCTGTAATTATATCTAAGTGCAATAGAGGAGATGAGAGCAGATGATTTTCATGTCTCTAATACAGAGAATGGATTGAATTAAAATCAATACAAACGCTGTCTGGAGACTGTTGAAGTGAAGGGCTGAAACAAAAAACAAATACAAGATTCTGATCACATGATCACATGTACTGTACTTCTAGAGAAAAAAACTGTGAGAAAAACTGTTAGAATTTCAACATTTAGTCATATTCTTGAGAAGCCGTTCCTTTTTTTCCTTCTAGGTCTGTTGGTGTGGTAGCAAATATAAGGCCCAGATCGTCTGATTTTCCTACCGATGGCATGAAAACAGATGAGTCTGAAAAGCTAATGTAGAGTACAGCAGTCGCTCCAAGTTTTCTGCATCAGTGTATGAAATGAGATGAGATGAGAAAAGGGAAGAGGAGTGGATAGGAGAAGAGGAGATGAGATAGGAGAGGAGACATGAACAGAGGTGAAAACAGGAGTGGGAGGAGGTGAAAATGAGATGAGACTCAAATTGTTTGCACTAAAAGAATATCAGAATAACAAATATCCAACAGGTCCAACAATCTATCTTGGGAATATAAACTCAATTAGTTTTCCTGTAGCAATAACTTCAGTATTGATTTTTTTTATTCTTGTTTTTTCTCAGTAAAATGCGGTCCCTAGCCGTGTTTGGGCGATTTTTAATCTTGCTTCTTCTGTCGAAAAATGATCAAGTGTTTAGTTAATCAGTGTACAGGGAAAATTAATCCAAATTAATCACATATGACAAAATAGAACACCTTCAAGTCTACTATTGGTTTGGACGACTTGGACTTTCCAGACGTCAGTGGTTCAGTGTTGTCTGTGTGTCTGCAGATCCCAGAAATTCAGAGCAGAGTTATATCAGGGAGGAAATCCCACATTAAAAATGCGTGCCCGGTGACATGAGCTGATTATCCACGTCTGTGGAAGGGAGCGGCTCAGAGTGATTCTTTTCTGTCCCTGTAGAGAGATGAGCCTCTGACTCAGTGCCGTTGCCTGAAAAGCTCCCACATTAACAGTAAAATGAAACTAGATGGAAAACAAACAGCAGATGAACCAAATCACGGCAATTAAAATTTGCACCTTGTCCATTTCCTGGCAGCCGCTGCAGCTGTGCGTCTGTACCTACTGTATATGTTTACTGCACTGTATATACTGTACGTATGCATGCATTTCATCTGTCCTCAACACTCTCTCACATGACACTGAATATGAAATGCTTTGTCTGTTGTGGTAATACGCTGCATCTAATGATGCATATGAAAAGTAATCAGTAAGGCAGCAGATGAGCAGCTTGAGGAGGAATGTTAATAACTTGGGGAAGTGGGAGATTTCAGTGCCACCCTCCCCTCTGCTCCCCCAACCACCACCACATCAACATCTATACAAAAACAGGAGGTTTTATAAGACACAGGACTCAGCAGGTGTTTCTATGAAGCCAACCCAGTTTCACTTATGTAACGGGACAGCTGTGTGACAAAATGGGACGCTACACACACACATCAAACCTGGCTTGTGTTTGTTTTGGGTGTGAGTGTGTGTCCTTTTCGTCTTTATGCATACACGTTTGGATCAAGGTCCTTTCTGACATTGAGCGCCCCCTGTGTGTGTGTGTGAATGTCTGAAGGCTGTGTACTGATGAACATCTTGAATAATTCACTAACTGCCCATTTGGGCTGAACTCACTTTCACACGTTCCCAGCAGCGATGATTCGATCGCTGACTCACTGCGTTGTTTTAGGCCTGATGACAAATGAAGCTGCACACAGTGATACATGTGCTTTTCACCTTGCTATTTCCCACCCAATTGGCAGTAGTATAATTTATATCAGTGATTATGGGTTTTTATCAACATATTTTATGGCAGACTATAGTGGGGTTTGGTCCAGTCAGCAAGATTCTATGTACTCAGGAAAATGTCCATGTACATAATTTATGTCAACAACGGAGAAAAGGCTGCAGTTAGCAAAGAGCACTAACTGAAAACATCAAAAAGACTTCTAATTTGTTTTTTTGTTTTTTACATTTTACCCTAGGAACAGACTGAAAATTATTCTATTTTATTTTAGTTAGTTTCTGCCTTGATCTTGTCCTTGGTTTGTTGCCTTGCTTGCACCCAAGAAAGTAAGCTGCCACGGTACTACGGCTCACACAGGCACAAAGGCATGATTAGCTGTCAGTGGCCAAAGGCTTTCCTCAACATCTGAACCTTAAATGCACTACTAGGCAGAAGCTGTTATTGTTAACGTTTTCTTGCTTGCTAAAAGCAGAAAAAACTACCTTAAAATTCAAATTTTTCTTACACCTTCTTTGCACTATCACATCACTGTCTTCCTTAACTGGGCTGGAGGTCATCCAAGGCTGAGACCTGCCAATTTTGTCCAGTCAAACATTAAAGGGTCATATAGTCGACATCCTAGATTTCTTTCGATTTCTGCTAAATATGTGTTAAACTTGAGAACGGTCAGAACAACATTTTCGTACTAAGCAGGGCAGCGAGGCAGTTCACAGTGATGTGTGGTATGTGCCTCCAGTGTGAGCAGTACATTTTATTACATTTTTAAACAAGGTTTGATTAAGTGCTTTAATCCTTAAAGGATTGTGAGGAATCCTCTACGGTGATCAGATGATAAAAGCTGCACTGCCTCTTTAGTCAGAGGTTTAAACTGTCACTCTTGGACCCCAGCCCAACGGTGTGACCGTGGAGGCTTCTCATTAACAGTGTTTTTTTTTTTTTCATCATGGGAGCATGTTCATGTGTTTATAGACAGATCTTCAGGAAGTGACCTTTAAATCCACGCTGATTATTCCAGTGTTTATCATCGTATGTCTTCATAATGAAGAAATTCTGATTTTTAAATGCAATGTCATTTTTCTTTAGCTGTGTTTAGGTGGATGTGGGCGACCGAGGCGTGACAGGTTCTTTCAAATTGAAATGCCAGCCATCATATTAATTTCAAACGGACAGTGGAAAACAGAGACATGGAGAGAGAAAAGCAATGGGGGGAGTGTGGTGGTGGTGGTGGGGGGGTCGAAGCTATTACCACCCCTCACCCCTGCCTTTTAATTTTCCATTTGCCTCTGCTCTGTCAATTATTCCATATCAATGTTCTCTGCTGTGTTCATATTTCTACCTCTAAACCACTGTCACTCACCAGCTTTTTCGCTGTGTTCTCCTCCCCCCTTCCTCTCCTGTGCTCTCTCTCTCTCTCTCTCTCTCTCTCTCCCTTCCTTCCTCTCGGTGTTTCAGTGAAATGAAGCAGGAGCTGGCAGAGGAAGGCAGCAGATGCTCCATCCTCTCCAAGCAGCACCGTTTCAACGAGCACTGCTGCATCCGCTGCTGCGCGCCCTTCACCTTCCTGCTTAACCCCAAGCGTCAGTGCCTGGACTGTCAGTACAACGTCTGCAAGAGCTGCTGCACCTACAGCAAGAGGGATAAAGCCTGGCTGTGTTCGGCGTGCCACAAGGGCAGGTTAGTGTTTGCACACACACACAACATTCATGCACTGGCTGGAGATGACAGAGATAAGTGTAATAACAGAGGAACGAATGGGTGAGGAGAGATGCTGGAGATGTTGAATTGGCTGAAGGACACTGTGAGGAGAAAAGTGAGGGGAAAGAAAATAAAAATAGGAAGTAAGGTGTGGGTGAGTGGACTGTGGATGGATGTGAGGAGAGGCTGAGACGATGCTGTAGGGGTGTTTTTAAGAATTTGACCACCAGCTCTACAATCACTGTAAACAGAGTAGAAACTGTTATTTTTTTTAAACATTACTTTTAGTTGAGGAGAGGAGGGGGAGATGGTAGGAGAGGAGGTAATGGAACGGAACCATGGATGATAAGAGAAGATTTAGGCAAATGTGTGAAGAGGGAATATGTACGCTGTAGGAAAAGGACACACAGAAGAAGAAGAATAGTAGACATGGCAGGGGTAATAAAACAATTAATTCAGCATGTGTTTTTTTATTTTATTTTTCTACTTTAAAAACCATTGATGATGTAAATATTTTCTGATTTAAGGGGACAAAGTCAAACTTTTTTAATCAAAAGAAGAAGCAGGAACATGACTATATTTTTTATTACAGCCCGTGCTGTATAGGTATCTGCTGATGCTGCTTATGTATGCATGTCTGTTCCAAGACCTGGGAATTGTTCTCATGCCCCCAACTCAGCACTAGATGAATATTAAGCGTTCCCTGTCTGGGCAGTGAGAGTGGAGCGGGTGAAATCAATATTAGACATGTGAAATATGTTACAAGTGAATTTGACAAAAACTATATTGTGACAATAATGACCACTGTTCCCTGGGTGTGATTCTGTAGAATTTGGTGTACATCTAAAAAGGACGCAAAAAATGTTCATTCCAGAGGTTAGTCTGCACTCAGGTGGAGGTTGATGTGACTGTGAGCTGTCCAAAAAATGTGCTCCGCCCTCCTCTTGGGCCTGATTTCTGCCTATAGGTCTCCGTCGTTCAATTTTTCTCTGTCTTGCATTGATTTTTGCCGCATGCTGTTGAGAGTTAGACCCGCTGCCCTGCCGGGGAGAGGCAGGGGGGAGTGGGGAGGAGGAAGGAAAGGAGTGATGGCAGTCAAAGAAGGTGGCGAGGTTTGCATCGATCATCACTCCTCAGCTGCTTTCTCTGCTTCATCGTTGCCTGGAGTGTGTGTTTGTGTGTGTGTACCCGTGTGTCTCTGCCTGAGGCTCTGAAATGTTCTCATTAGGGGTTTAGACGGAGTCACAGATGGGCCGCAGGAGCAGTTACATTTAAAATCAGCACTGTTTATTACAGCATTAAACACACTGTTACCTGACATGAATTAGCACCTTGCTGGGTGCAGTCATTTTGTGTCATTTTAAGCATGATTTACAGCTGACATGATACAAGACACCAGAATCACAAATCAAATAAAATGGGATAAAACGCCCTTGAAATATCAGTAGGATTTAGGAGCCAATGAAAGTTAGAAGTTAGCCAAAAGGTATAAATTGAAATAGAAGATGTAGCTACAGATAGGTCAGTCAAATTTAGATGAAGTACTGCTAATGTAAATAAAAAGAGAAAATGTGTCCAGCAAGATTGTCAAAAATTAAGATAAAGTGTAAATTGAAAGGGAGCGCATGAGACTCTTAATTGCAGGGTCGTAGGTTCGAGTCCGACGTTGCGGTTTTTCCTATAATAATTTCCCCAGTGGGGGTCAATAAGTGTTAAAGAGTGATTGTTGTAAAGCTGAATATAAAGAAATGCCATAAATGATCTCAAAAACAGGAAGAATTTTTTTTCTTTCTAAAAAAGGATAAATGATGCCAAGCCAGATCAGAAGTCCACCTCCTCAAGTTGAGCAAAAATATAAACCATGATTCAGCTTTGTGTCATACTTTAACTTTTACCATTTTTGGGGGGGGACAGCCTCCTCAATGAGCACATCTGAGCCAAAGGCAACATCCACACATGAGAGGAGGGAACGCCAAATGGTCTCACCGGCTGTCTGTCCGTACTCACAGTGACTCCACCGCGCTGCTCACACGTGTGACGCATTGGTTGGAAAAAAAAACACAGATTACGTCAGCATCTAACACAAACACACAGATGTCAGTCAGACACCAACGTCACCTTCTCACACTATATGTATCTACATACAGTATAGTGTGCACACAGGGTGACGCTGAAGTGACCGTGTGTGCGTTGCAAACCATATTGAGTGATCGCAGTGAGGTGTGTGTTAGTGAAGAAAGTTATGATCGTTGTGATGAGGTTGATAACGTGTCTAAATGCTGAGTGTGTATCATAAAAAACAGCAGGTTTCTTTGAGTAATTTAGAAACATTTTTTCACTTTTTACACACAAAATAATCTACTGTGAATTTAAATCCTACTTCTTCATTACTATGGCTTCAGAGATGAAGCCGAGGGCTGAATGTTAAAGGAGAAAATAAGGGAAGATGAAGGTCAAGAAAAGAAATGGGGTAAGAGATGGCAGGTGGGCGTGGGGGGTGGGGGGCACATAGAATGCCAGAAGAGGAGGAAGAGCNNNNAGAGCGGGAGCAGCAGGAGGAAAGCATCTGCCCCAATTATGACAATGAAAATGGCATTCACTTTGCCTTTTTTTTTTTTTTTTTGCATTGTTCTCTCTCTGGCATCTTCCTGGCCTCTTTTCTACTTTATTCTTTCATGCCCACATTTTATTTTATTATTATTATTGTTGTTGTTTTAGTCCAATCCTTTTCCAGCTTCTGACTCTGTCTCTTTGTCATACCCATTCTTATTTCTCTCTCTTCTTCCTCTCTTCTTCTTAAAGTCTCCATTTGCCACGTCGCATTTACATTTCATCTGCTGCACCTCTCAGTGCTTAATCTGCAGAAATGGATTGCATTGGTGCCTATATGTAGCCCTCAGGACACAGTATGGACACGGTGTGTGTTGGCGTGTGTGCATTTGTGAGCGTGTGTGTGTATGTGTGTTTATGAGAGCAATAGACCTAAGTGACAAACTGTTCTTACCTCCCTGTGGCTCACATAATCTCCTCCTAATATATGACGGTGAGGAGATTACAGCATCTGCTGCGGACCTATGCTTTATGCTCTACTGGATTTACACACAAACAGCAGCCGGTGTCAGGTGGTGCAGTGGCTCATCTTTAAATTAGAATGTAAACATTTCATACTAAAGGTAGAGGTCATCAGTTCTTACTGTGTAAAAAGGGGTAAAAGAGAGTTGAAAATAAATAATAAATAAAATGTTAAAAAGTTACATCAGTTAAGGCAGGTGTGATAACTGTACACCATGGAATCATGGGTTCATGTGTATGTTGGTTTTTCTTTAAATAAATAGATTGTCTGATTATTTGAAGCCTATTTTTCACTGTAGAAATCCATAACTGATGCTAGAAAAATATAAAGTCAGAGAGCTGTAAATGGGAAAACTAAAATTATATTTAATCCAAATTCTGTTTACCATTATACAAATAAAGATAGAGACACATGGGTATCAGTGTTTTTATTGTTCTAAATCAAACATTTCACTTCATTTCAATCAGAGGGAATTATATTTCCTTCCATTTACAATAGACTCAACTACCATTTTAATCAGTGTAAATTTAATCTCCACCGTAAACACACACACAGAGCCACACAAACATCACCTCCTCATTCCGCACTCACCCAGCTGCAGCTACAGCTGTGACATTACCCGTCTGTTGTGTTTTGACTGGGAGTCTCCGTCATGTGACGCCTGAGGAGCAGCCGCAGCTGACAGGCTACTGCACACAAACAGACCGCCTTTAATTAGGTGGTTCCTTTCTGTGGCGACAATACCGTCTTTTAAAGGCTTAGCAGAAGGTGATTGGCTAGTGGACACACAACGAGCTAAAAAGAACAGGAACTAGACTCTGAAATTTAACTTACAGCACTACATGTCATATATCACAGGTGTGCCCTGGAAAATTACCCAATTTCACTTAATTGGTCTGAAAAAAGTATTATTTGTATATTGCATAATTATTCTTTGTTTGTCAATGCGTGACAGGAAGAGCAATTAAATACGTGTCAGCTAGGTGGCAGCAGATGGCTGTAAAAACAAAGAGAATCAGAGCTTGAAAAAGATCTTTGTGTCTTTCTTCAATTCCTGCGAGTATATCAGCGCCGTCTTCAACTAAACAGGCCCAGGTTTTAGTCAATTGTGAGTATATTCTAAAGGTTATTATATTTTATTACAAACTTTTTTGTCAGATCAGCACTGCTATATCACATGAACAGCAGAGACGATCAACGTCACCTGTGTCAGCTCCAGACACTATTAGCAGAAATGAATGGACTCTTCTCTCCACATCGAGAGGATTGTTCTGCAGCTAGTTCCACTCCCTTTATATAAATCCTTCTCCTTGTGTATTCTGGAAATTCATTCTATTTCAACCATGCCGGCCCCAGCAGTTATGAGATGCTTACTGCATATTGTTTATATACTTAGGAATACAAAATGTACCTCATATCATTCCCTTTTTTATCCGTCCTCCGTGGATTTGACTGATTAATATGGTTGATGTTTATCACTTGAATTCATTTCCTGCCACTGTTTTAATGTCCACTAAGTTTATTGCTACTGTAATGAAATTCCGCGGGCTTTTAAGAAAAACAATCCCCATAACTATTCAACTATAAAACCCTTTCACTCTCATCTGTCTCTCTGCTTTATTCCCTTTATCCCCAGTCCCCCGCAACACAACCACCGTCTGCCGTTTGTAAATGTTTGTATCTTTACATGTTGAGATTCTCTTCACGTCCAGACAGCCATCAATACATAAAGTTGTCTGGAATAAGTGAGAAACCACCAGGTCCTTATCCGTTGCAATGCTGTAGTAAACACAGTCATTTATTTATCATTTCATACCTTCCTGTCGCTGCTACTGACCTGAATACAAATGATAGGCAGTCAGACAGGCAGATGGATATGAATGAAGGTGAAGTGTAAATGTTTTTT